GAAACCAAAGCTAGGACCAGATAAACCAGGTGTGCGAGTAATATTAGTTAGGTGGACCCCGCACCCAGTAATAGTGACTATAAGGGATGATAGATTATGTTAGGGTCCTCTTACATTCTTATTATATCACTATTACAGGGTGGTGGGTCCTCCTAAACTATTAGCAACACTAATAATATTCATAGTTATACTAGTAATAACAATGATAATCATAATAACACGAGTACGAATACTAACAGAAGACTAAGTTACAGGAATGCAGTTCCTAACTGGTTGTTGGTTGCTCGGCCCACGGAACACATGTTCGTAGTTGAATTGAGAGACACCACCCCCCCGACGAAAAACCCTGATTTAAGCCCTTACAGCAGGTCCCCTCATTTCGGCAAATCCCCAAGTGTCCTGAAGACCCAGGATTTAGGGTTTACGATTTAGGGGCCTAAACCCTTAACCCTAAACCAACAATGACTCGACCCCAACATCAGGAACCTCAGAACTAAAAACCACGACTGCACAGCCTAGTTTCGAGTTTAGGGTGAAATCTCCCTATGATACCCTAGAAAAATCCTTATCCCTACAATACCCCTACAATATCCGTATAATATCCGAAAAGCTATGCTCCGGGCGGTGGTGTGGGATCAACAGGTGGTAGCTCCGGCCTTGTCAAGGCGACAGGGTTTGGAAGAATGAGGCTTCGAGTTAGGGTTTATAGTTGGGTATATATTGGGATTATATATGGGTTATATAGGGATAATGGAAAAGAAAATGGAAACTACTATTTAGGGTCTAGGGTCTAGGGTTTAGGGTATAGTACCCCTTAAGTAGATAGAACATGGCTGTGGGTGTAGTTTAATAAGATCCCCATATACCCCATATTCTATCTATGTAAGGGGGACCAGAAGGGTAAGATAGGGTTTAGGGATTGATAGGGGGTATATGTATGGAGAGGTTCGTATACAGCGGGTTTAGGGTGTCAGAATCTGAAGCACATATGAAAAACCTTGATGCTATCGAGAAGAATGGCGAAGTAAGCGCCGGCCAGACTGCCGGCAACTAAGAGTACACATATTTATCCAGTTATGGCGCCTACCCTCAAACTGTTATGCTCACATATGAGTTATAGTAATAACCCTACAGTAGTCCCCTATATAATCCCCTATATAATCCCCTATATAATCCTTTTTAAGGAGTTTAGACTATAGCTCATATGCTTGTTGTAAGGAGGGCCTGAAGGCTGGATTCACGATTAGCGAGGGAGGCTTGTACAAGTGTTTGAAGGTTGGGCTACTTAGTACCATTGCCCTGCGCCATGTCCCCAACCGCGGTTATACACTAGTCATCGGGCCGTCATACTTACATTTTGAATTCATGACCCTGTGCAAGGACCATCTCCTTGCAGATTGCATTCTTGGGCACGGGGCTGCAGGAATTGCTTGGGGGCACTTCAGGCTGCAACCCATCACACATCGTCTCATACTGGCAGCTCATCTTAGCTACTGATGTTTAACGAACGAAAAAAAAAAAACGGTTCTACTTAAATATTTGGCACGATGGGTTCCTGAAGCTCATGTCCCGCAAACAAAACATGTAGATTTGCGTTTGAAAGCAGATGTAAGCCCCCAACTACGTAACCCCTAGATTATCCCAGTCTCCATTTGATTTGTCAATCCGTTGTTCACTCTGGGTACCGACTTCCATTGACAGACTCGCCTCAAAACAAAGAAACATGTTGGTCTGGCCTTCTAGGATCATTTGGCCATGTCTCAACAAAAAGGGCCAGCGAAAGCACTCCCTGTACAATCCTAATCACAATCCCTACACCCTGAACCAAAGGCCCAAAACCTCAATTCCTTCATGGGTGGTCGTCAAAATTATGGGCCCCTTGTGGTTATAGACTATATTACAGCACCTAATACTTAGGGGTACCAAAATGGGCACATTCGATCTCAAAAGCTTAAGATTGAAAAACTGGTAATTTCTCTGAATTGGGGGGCCCCTGACGCAGATCCCAAAATACTATCACCCTAATTATGGGAACCCCACCAAAAAGGTATCTCTAGTTTTGGGAAATCCACATCTGGGCCCCGGGACTTGGTACAACTTGCCCGCAGGTTCCGGAGTCTCCGGACGCTCTGCTGTCCCTTCATCACCTGAGACTTACTGGTTCTAAGTAGGGAATGAGGGAATGCATTGGGATCAAAAGGGACAATGGAAAAGAACATGGAAACTACTTCTTCATAATAGGGTATGTGCTAGGGGTATAGCAGGGAATAAGGGAATAGGGGATATATAGCATGTAGGGATGATATTCCCATATTCTTTACTACGAACGAGTAAGTACTCAGTAAGTTTCACATAGTCAGAGGCCGGCTTACGAAGGGCCTTACAAAAGAATGCCCATAGTCAGGGTAAAGGGTACATCTGTGCTATCTCGCGACTTGGACACCACCACACAAGAGTTTGTTCCATACATATTGCGAGAAAAAACAAAGCGTCCGCAAAGTGTAGTCATGGGGATTGTAACCCCGTTTGTTCACAGCTCACAACACGCCCCGTAAGCCCGTGTGACTTGATCTGGAAATCACTTTGTCACCAAAACACCCATCTACCACAGCATTCTCTTTGAGGGTACCAACTTCACCATTCTGCGGTCTTCATGTTATGTCAGCGCAGTGACCAATGCAAGACTTCCTCAGGGACTTTGGACACATGTTCGAGGGCAGCAGTGGCAGTCCGTGCACAACGCATGAAAACGACAGGTAGATATTGCAGCGATCCCAACACTGCAGCGAGAATAGTTTATAAGGGTGTCATACATATGTACATATATGAGATTCTTGGAGATATATGTGAGAATATCGGGACAGTGGAGCAAAAGGGCCTAGAAAATTGAAAATAGAATCGAAACTGGGCTCTGACTTTGCTATGTCCGCTCTTACTATTACTACTTCTATTACTATTACTATTACTAGTACTAGTACTAGTACTGTTACTATTACTATTACTATTACTATTACTATTACTATTCCCATTACTATTACTATTACTATTCCTATTACTATCACAATCACTATAGCTATTACTATTACTACTGCTATTGCTATTACTATGCTTGTTCCGATTTTATTAATACGATTTTCAATCAACCCAAGCCCTAAATCCTAAACCCTAATCATTGCTATTTTTTATTGTTGTTACTATCAGCGCCGGATCCCATTCCGGGGGCCTTCTCGAAGCTCTCCACGCCGATGGTGGCACCTCGCCGGAGACCCTTCTTGTCCTGCCACTAAGATCCACACAGGGTTGAGGTTTTTAGGGTTTGGGGTTGAGGTTTAGGGTTCAGGGTTGAGGTTGAAAGTTTAATCCCAAATCCTTCATGAGCCTACATTACAAAGAAAGCCTGGGAGCTACGCAAGCAATTATGTCTCTTGACTTCTTGGCCCTAATCCGCATTAGGGCCTAAACCCTAGACCCTGCATCCTGCTTGGAGTAATACTCGTCGTAGAACATGCTCCTGCAGCATGGCCATGGGTCAATGCTGGAAGACATGGAGGTTTCCCAAAACTAGGGGTACCTCTCTGGGGGGTCCCTAGAATAAGAATTCGAGTATTCTGGAGTCTATATTGGAGTCCCCCTATTTTGGGAAACTACAACACACACGCATTCTTGTCTGGAAAGTCGTCAGCAGGCACTGCGCTTGCTGCCATACTTGCGATTGAGGTGCCCATGAATCATGATGTCAGTTGGAGATTTTCTCCCTAATGCTCACAAGGAATGGCCATGGTGACCGCACTGGAATTGCTCTTGAGTGCTAGAACTTGTGGAGCGGATAAGCTGTAAGAGGCTCGGCCGCTGCAACCATCTCATCAAGCCAAAAGGTGGTTTCCCAACATTAGGGGTACCCTTTTTGGGGGGTCCCATTAATAAGGACTATAGTATTTTGGGATCTATATTGTGGTTCCCTTATTTTGGGAAATTGCCAAAAGAATGCGCACTGCAAGGGTCTTAGGCCAGGTCCTGAGCTCATCATGCATCAGGATGCCGATCTCCTTCGCTGAAATTCTACTGTTCGAAGCCCGATTACACATCTTGACACACTGTCTGACGAAATGATTCTGACTCCTGCCGACCTTCCCCCCCCCCCCATGTTTGCAGCATGAACCGTTGAGTGAGGCCCGAAATACTTCCTGAAGCCATCTTACCCCAACCTATACCCTATTATAATATAATAGTTTCTTTTTTCTTTTCTATTATCCCTATATAACCCTATATAACCCCTATATAACCCCAATATACACCCTATTATAATATAACAGCTTCCATTTTCTTTTCCAGTATCCCTATGTAACCCCAATTTACACACTCTATTGCAATGTAATGGTTTCCATGTTCTTGTCCATTATCCCGATATTACCCCTATATAACCCCTACATACTATATAATCCCAATATACACCCTATTATAATATAGCAGCTTCCATTTTCTTTTCCATTATCCCTATATAACCCCTACATAACCCCAATATACACCCAATTATAAAATAGTAGTTTCCATTTTCTTTTCCATTATCCCGACCCCATATAGCACCCCAAGTTATGGCAGACAAGATGCATTCGTCATCAGCTTCAGCAAGCTTGTCCGGCCTCAGAAGCTCAATGTGAAGCAGATGGCTAATATAAGCCATAATCTAAACTCCCTCAAGGGGATTATATGTGGGATTATATAAGGGAATACCATAGGGCTTTTTTAGGGGGATACTAGGAGTGTAGACTATAGCTCATATAAGCAGGGCTTGTGGCATTGGCCAAACCATGGGGTTCTGACATGCACCTATAAACCCCTTAAGTAGATAGAATACGGGGTATATGGGGATTTTGTTTTAATATTGGTCAATTCCATATTTTGGTTTTTTTTAATATTCAATTCCATATTCTATCCACTTAAGGGGGACTACATCCACTCAGGCCTGCTTGGCTGTCTCTGCTAATCTTTAAGGCCCTTGCTGAACTGCAGGTTCTCCGACATGAAATGCGCCATGGGAACCTCATCCTTCACAGGGTAACAGTGGGGGTTCCCAAAACTAGGGGTACCAATTTGGGCGTCCCAATAATAAGGAACATAATATTTGGGGGTCTATATTGGGGACCCTTGTTTTGGAAACACCACCATATTAGGTGGCCGCTGGACTTCTTCCTGTCAGGGCTTCTTAAGATCTCGGGCTTTGCTGCAGCTGCGCGTGCTTCTTGGGAAGTGCAGACCTGTCGTTACTTTGCAACGCTTGATTTGGCAAGCCTTGTACTAATGACGCTTCGCAAAACTAGGGTTACCTTACATAGGGGTAAAAGAAAGAAAATGGAAACTCACATTTAGGGTCTAGGGTCAAGGGTTTAAGGTTTCCCAAAATTAGGGGTACTTTTTGGGAGTCCCCAGAATAAGGATTACAATATATTGGGGTCTATATTGGGGTCCCCTATTCAAGGAAACTACGCAATCACTTTGGACGATTCTCTGGCCTGGGTTTGAAGAGCACGTTCTTTCTGAAGTTTTCTTATCTGTAACGGCTACAACCATTCACACCTGAAATCCTTGATGTCGTACAAAACCCTGCATATACCTCTTGTTGGGGTGATTCGAGCTCAGCAACAATCCTCCGAAAATGAAACCCGCAAATCCCAGGACCCTTCAAGTACCCACAGCTGCGGCTGCACTGCCCACCTCTTCATCAGACTCTATTTCCTTGGTGAGCATTGGTTCCTCCTGAGACATAGACAGATTGAAGGGGTTGGTTGAGCAGTTATATTCCCGACACCTAGCTTAGCTGCAAGACTGTTAGATCACGCAGTCGACGACCTCGAAAGAATGGCAGTAGTAGAAATAGTTGCCATAGTAGTCATAAATAGTAATAATGTAACAATAGTAATGAATCATAGTAATACTAATGATAATAGTATTGGTCGTAATAATAATCATTAACCTGGGAGATGGCCCGTCCTCATCCAGGCCCAGGGCTTTTTCTCTCACCTCCACGTTTATGACTTCATGCGGAGGTTTTCCAAAATTATTCTGGGCTCTATATTGGGGTCCCCCCTACTTTGGGAAACAACCATGTAAGTCTACTTGCGGTGGCCATGCTAAACTAGAAGTGGTTCCCCCAGACGTTCAAAACCTGTGGGTTCTGCGGCCCTACGCTATGCCAGAGACTGACTTACGATCATTCCTATTGCTATTACTATTGTCACTGTCATTTCTATGACTACCAGTATTACTGATATTGCTCTTATTACTAGTATCACTATTACTACTACTACTACTACTACTACTACTATTCCTTTTTTGGATATTACTACTGTTACTACTATTACTACTATTGATAATACTACTACCAAAATTACTGTTGTTGACATTATTGATACTATTCATGGACAGCCTTCGCGTTGAAAGGCGTGAGGCTGGCAAAGATGGCTGCAGTCACGATGCAGAGACCGCACCTTGCAACACCAGGAAGGGGCTTCCCAAAATTAGGGGGTTTAGGGTTTAGGATTTAGGGTTTAAGGTTTAGGGTTTAAGGTTTAGGGGTTTAGGGCTTCCCAAAATTAGGGGTTTAGTCCCCCTTCAGTAGATAGAAGATGGGGTATATGGGGATCTTATTACAATATATCCTTAAGTCGGGGGGGGTCCAGGGGGGAGGGTACTAGGGAGCCTTGGGGAACCTTAAGGAAGCTTAGGGAGTATTGGGGAACAATGGGGACTACCAACCCCCCTTTAGGGCTTCCCAAAATTAAGGGTACCCTTTTGAGGGGTACTTTATATAGGGATAATAGAAAAGAAAACGGAAATTTCTATTTAGGGTTTAGGGTTTAGAGAATGCCAAAATTAGAGGTAACTTTTTAGCGGTCCCAATAATGAGGAATAGAATATTTTGGGGGTCTACATTGGGGTCCCTTTATTTAGGGAAACTACCAGGAAGGGATCCCGTCAATGGTCTCACTGAGGGTGAGGGTGTGCGGTGAGTGGTTGATTATTTGGCAGAAATCTCACTGATGTTAAAAGCTTGTGAGAACCTCTGGACATATCCATTTATCAGTGAAACTTTACACTGGCTACTGAAGAGCAGAACCGGGAATTCGTCCGCTCGGTTAGCAGGTTCTGGTATACTATTCTTCATTCCGACAACCGCACTTCTGGAAGGCCCAGTTGCTATGACCATAACACCAACGGCTAACCTCACACCCCAGACCAAAAACAAAACTAAACCCTAATTAAGCATGTCGAACAAGTAAGCCAAGGACGTGATGCCATAGGGCAAGAAGTGTCCTTCAGGGTAGTTTGAATAATTTCAATTCCCAATTTAAAGCCATTTTGGTACTGTTGCGCATATAAACCACTACTTAGGGCAGGAAGTGTCCTCTTGTGTAGATCCAACCGCCAGCGGCAGGCCTGAAGGACGTATGTTTCTGGTTAAGTGGTTTAAAGGCTTAGGATTTGGAGTTAAGAGTTTCAGGGCCTTGGGGATGCAGGCTTTGGAGCTAAGGGTTTGAGAGTTTTAAGGGTGTAAGCTTTGGAGTTTAGGGTTTGAGGGTCTTAGGGACCTAAGATTTCGGACGACCCGGCATTGTCACGACTGTAGGCAACAGCTATACACTGCCAGGAGCTACAAGGCACTATAAGCAGAACCAATGAAGTAACCTTGCTGTCCGCAGGGCTGCATTTGGGAGCAAGCCATCCTTCCGGCCAACCACCTGGCCTCATGAAAGTGCCCCTGTATCCCGAATCTTGAGATTCTCATTTAGACACCGAGCAAAAAAAAAACGATAAACACTCCATATGCAATCCCTATATGATGAACTCATGCAGTAGTCCTTGCATGCATCACCACACCACCCCAAGATGAACCTCATTCATCCCTTTGCATTCCCTTTGCGAGCTCCATGGATGCCAAACAACTTCGATGTTAAAGCTGGGAGCCACGCGACAGGGTTCCCGCAGCTCCGTCCACGAAAGACTTGATGCCCAGGAACATGCCAAGCCGATCCTGCGGTAGCTGACAGCTTCAAAGCTCGACCATGCTAATGATAAGCAAGAACATTTGAAGAGATTGGAATCAGAACAGGCGTTGCCGTGACGAAGAACAGCCAAAATATCACATGCATGATCCTGACATGTTTCAGTCTGCTTGCTGAGCGGGTATGCCTTGAGGGACTTGGAATTCCAGCGCCCTCCCCACTCTGAGGCTGTAATGGTCCATACCCCATTTCCACCCATACATGCATACCGTAATGCTTGTTGTACTTTAGTGATTTCCGCCCCGTCCACCCATATGGTTCGATCACGGTATTATGGTAGCTTAATGGGTTGCTCAGCGCCCAATTCCCCCTCCCTTCCCATTTCCCCTTATCTCCTTCTCTTGCATTGTGCGTTTAACACTTTGCTGCAGTTCAAGGCATGCTTGCCTCTTCTCTCTCACTCCATCCAAGCTGTCACCTCTTGCTAGAACGCTGTGCTTTACAGAAAGAACAGGCCAAGCATGACATCTCCAATGTTCTATCACACCATGCCCTGCACAACTCTGCTTTCGCTCTTTCTTCTCACAGCCTGGACGAGGTCCGGGTCATAAGTCTGTCTTCACATGTTCCATGTCTTCTTAACTTCACTTGAATCATCTAACGTCAATCGCCGGTGATCACTGATCTGCCCCACAAGACCCCCAACATGATACAGCTATAGTCATTTCTTGTAAGCTTGAGAAACAATCATGTTGCTACCTCCTACACCTAAATCTAAAACCACAACTCTAAATTAACTCTACGTTCCGAGCCCTCTACTGCAACCACTAGATCCCAAGCCCCTAAACATGAAATCGAGACATCCGCTCCGGAGACACGTGGTAGTGGACCAGCGCCATGTACCCCAGGCCAGAGATGGATCCGAAGAGCCCCACCGAGAGGCCTGCGGGAGCTCTTCTTTTATAGTAGTTTCCATTTTATTTTCCATTATCCCAATATTACCCCATTATAACCCCAATATTACCCCATTATAACCCCAATTATGTTCTCCACCCTTTCTCTGCCCGCCCCAAGTGCGACTAGAATGCCACATTGGCAAGGGGGTCTGGGTCGAGGGTTCAATGCTTCAAAGTAAAGAATACTGATATGGTAGTTTCCCAAAATAAGGGGACCCCAATATACACCCCAAAATATGTTATAATCCTTATTATGGGGACCCCCCCAAATGGTACCCCTAATTTTGGGAAAGCCTAATCCCTATAATCCCCTATATAAACCCAGTTTCCATATCATTTTCCATTTTCTTTTCCATTTGATTCTCCATTATAGTAGGTACCACTAATTTTGGGAAACCCTAAACCCTAAACCCTAAACCTGGGGGTTTATCTTCTGGGGTTTCCATACTTGCCGGCGCTCCCAAAAGGGGGAG